GCTGGGCATCCCCTAACCTAACTCGGTCGACTCAGCCTTACCCAGTGCGATGTGTGCACTCTAGAGCTGGGGAGACAAAGGCGACCGGGCATGGTATTGGCCACCCACCCCCTCGTGCGCCGTGCCGGCTTTCATAGATGCTCGCGAACAGCACTTGCCCCAACAGTCTTTGTCGACTATACGGGGGGTCTTTGTAGCGTGAGTGCAGCGGTTAGCGCACCGCGCTACGAACCCCGGGAATGTAGACGTTTGTTGAACTTCTTTCGCACCGTACGTAGTTCAAGCCTCAGCGCGTTCATGACCGTGCGACCCAAACGATGGACCACACAGTGAACCACAGCGGTAGCCTGGCGCTCCTTCAGCGGCGAAGGAAGAGCAAAACGACACGAATTCGCCCTCTCCCACTCTGAAGCCCTCTGGATGTGGCCAGCAGACCTCAACATTGGGCCTTTTGAGATACACCGAGACCCATAGAGATGCATATTCACACTCAGACCCATGGAGATACGTCGATAGCCCTCCAGACATCGAGATACATCGAGACCCAGAGAGATGCACAGTCACACTCGTAATTTATTCGGTATGTTTGTTGCGTTTGTCATGTCGGAGATCCACTCTTACAAACGATGGCGCCGCGGTGGCGATATGTTAACTCCCTCGCCTGGTATACAGGAGGTCGTGGGTTCGATCTCGATCCTGATAATGCCTGTATAGTTGGCGTTTGCATGTTATCCCTGTGGTCTTCCCTCCACATTTAGAAACATGCGTTTTGAGAACAGCGGTTCTTAACCTGGCGTGCCCATTCTCTGGGTGCGAGACATGACAGATTTTTTATAAGGTAAATAATCGAAAACACAAATTAAACGCGGGGCACGTAAGTTACAAACTTACGTTGTTTCATCAAACCCTACGTAGTAATTAACATTACACAATTGTTAACCATTGAGAAACAAAGGAGTGCAGGATGCAGTCAAAGTTAAGAACCACTGCATACTCTTTGGTTCGTTCGGTAAAGTCACGTAGGTATAAAATAAAATAAATTAAATCACAACGTTTCGATTGCAACACAAGCAATCATCATCAGGTGGGAAAACCACAGCAATATTTTTTTTATATAGCTATATAACTTCTTACCACGGCAACTCTCTATCCCACTTCAGCAAAAAAATGTCTTGCTGTGGTTTTCCCACCTGATGATGATTGCTTGTGTTGCAATCGAAACGTCGTGATTTAATTTATTTTATTTTATACCTACGTGACTTTACCGAAAGAACCAAAGAGTATGGATCCCCTGCAGTCAGGAAAACTTCAAATCTAGATGAAGAACCACTGGTTTAGAGTATTTGTCAGCTACACATCTCCACGTGATGATAAGCCGCTCCGTTGAGCTACCATTTGTGATAGCCATGTCGCTTTTGAAAAAAACCAGAGCCGTTCTGCTCAGTGGCCCTTGCATGGTAAAATGAAACTAGTTTTACTTTTAGCCGCCGTATCCTGGTCTCTTGTGTTCTCACGTCGTCGGCTAAGTGAAACAAAAAAAGTTGACACTGGCATTTCACTTTTCAAAAAGCCTAAGCCCGCGTCTCAGGACGCCCATAACGATGGCAAGCAGAGCAGATGCGGCGAGGAGAACCCAGAATTTTGAAGCGTTACCCGGATTATTCCGCGGTGTGCAATTAACTTCAATGAGCCCGATGACCGATCCCGCATTCGTTGGAGCCATTTGACCTCCCTCCCTGCGAGAGCGCAGACAATTTAACCGAGGGCACTTAAGCTGAGATCTCATTAGAGGCTGAGAATGGTGAATTTACAACAAGTCGGTGCCATCGATATGCTACCACAGCTCACCATCCCTTCCTTCTGCGAGAATCCGACAAACTTACGCACAACCGAGACGCGACCTTCGGATAACGTTCCCCCAGTCTCACCACCACCACCACCACGACCACCACCATCACCACCACCATCACCACCACCACCACCATCACCACCACCACCACCACCACCACCAATATCGTCTAGCCTTAGGCCTTCTCTTCCCCATGGCCGTCAACTTCTGGGTGCCACTGCAATGTCCGTCTCAGAAACCGGCCCTCCTCCACTCTGCACACCACGTGTCGCACCCATCACAACCTCCCCCTCTTCCTGACTGCACCTACAGCGGTTCCCTGCCAGTTTCTGTCCCAAATCTACAAGTTGTGTGCCCTGCCTCCTCCATCCTGCACACGCGTCCCACCAATCAACATCTCCCCCATCTCCTTATTACATCTACAACGCTCTCCTAACACGTTCGATTCCCAACCACGCGTCTCACTAAGCACGACCTCGTCTCCCCTGCCACATTTTAACGCTGATGCCATCCTATCGTTCATCCATCCACCCGGGTAAGCCTCACCGAGTCTCAAGGGTCCGGCTTTGGGATCATTTGCAACTTCATTTGGACGAGGTGAATTTTTGTTTTGTTTTTTTCCACGTGTGAAACAGCACGTGGAGCCCTGGAGCAACCCCCAAACGACCGAGGAGGCACGGGGCAGGCTGGGTCGTGAACACCGCTTCCCCGCATCTCCGATTCGCACGGTTGGCTACGTACGGTGCGAAAGAAGTTCAACATACCTACAGTACACTATACACTTGCTCATGTCCACCTGGTAGCCCAGTGAGTTATTTGGGGTTACGTGACCAAAGCGGCCGGAGCAGGACCCTCCCGAATAAAAGAGCCATACGCATCAGCGTGCCATTCGGGGATAAATAAGCGGTGTCCAGAAAGGTATTGTTTATTGTTTTAATCATTGCAGTTTGACAGCAGGTTCGAGCCTCGCGGCTGAAGTATTAAACACCTGATCGGCAAGCCCACCACCACCATCACCCCCACCATCAACACCACCAACACTAACAACACCGTCACCACGGCGCCTGTGCCAGGCCAGGTGCACTCCGAGGCTACGTGAGCTGTCAAAGGCTCGCTGGCAGGAGACCACGGGACAGACCCAGGTACCATAGGTTGAATGACTGCGATGACTGGCAGATGCACCAGCTGTGCCCGATCCAACTTGATGCGATTTCAACTCCCCGTGATCCACTCGTTTTTGTGAGCGTCGCTCCGCTGCCCTCCGCTGTTGTCGTTGGGACTGCTTCCAACTGCCCAGTTGCATCTTTCACGAGTCACCAGTCTTCGGCAAGTCCACTCAGTTCCACATCCCTCTGTACCACATCAGCTCCATCTCTTCTCCGGCCCGTGCCGCGCCCGTTTAGCCCTCCCCTAAGCGGCCAAACAGAAGCGGTGGCCACGTGACCCAGCCAGCGCTGCCTCCATTGCCGGAGGAGCCCAATGATGGGAATGTGTCCAGATCTGGTCACAACAACACACTCGGACTGACACACTTACTCATCCACGCGCTCACTCGCCCGTTAATTCACACACTCGGAAAGACAAACATCCGCCCTACAGCAAAAACAGACTGTTAGCGAGCACACGAGGGGATGGATGGCACCACGCCCGATCGCTTTAGTCTCCCCAATGACGATGTTTACACATCGCACCACGTACTCATTCGAGGCTGAGTTGAGCTAAGGGAGGCCCAGAACCGATTCAGATAATCACGATGGGTGTTGGCCGTGAGCGGGAATCGAACTCGGGTCGCCGGGTTCGTAGTGCAGCGCACTAACCCCGACACTACCGCTCACACTCTCACTCACTCTGGGCAGTCGCTCACTCACACACTCAATCATTCACCCACTCACTCACTCATCTATCGCTACTGCCATGGTTAGTGTTTCCGTAAACCCCACTCATTGATTCCTCCACCACACACAGTGTTCAACCACCACCAACACTGCGAGTCACAGCCAATAACTGATACCTGCGATTCGCCACTAAGTGCCAGTGACGTGACCAAGGGGCCTGTGCCAGGCCAGGTGCACTTTGAGGCCACGTGAAGTGTCGAAGGCTCACTGACAGGTCACGGGACAGACCCAGGTGCCATGCGTTGGCTGACTTGAGATGATTGGCAGATGCCCCCTACTGTGCCAGCTTGATGTATTTCAATCACCCGTTGCTCTTCTGCCCTCCGATGTTGTTGGAGGCAGGTCACAGCCACACACTCACCCAACCCACGCACCCACTCACCCATGCAATCACCCTCACACTCACTCACCACACTGCAGGTCACATAATTTCGCTTTCGGCTTATTCCATCGCACTGCTCCACGTTGGAATCGCAATCCCATCGTTTTCTGCTACCTCCCCCCCAAAAAAACTCTTGAAATTGTTGAACTTCTTTCGCACCGTGCGTAGCCAACCGTGCACATCGGAGGTAATAAATAGCCTCGCTCAATTAAACGAAACGCGTCAATCAACTCTTGCACGTGATACACATTTGATAGCAGTTCTGTTTGTTGCTGACCGTTTGACGTTTTGTGCCATTCTAGCAACTGTGCTCCACAACTGCATTTAACAATAAATAAAAAATAAGCAGTGTGTGTGTGCGTAAATCTGTGTTCACGTAGTTTATTGGTTATATCGGTTGAAGGTGGAGGGATTACCAGCCCCTCGCACCTGTCCACAGCCCCCTTCGGCAGCTACGGAGGCTACAAACGCCACGAGGGGAATGGCCAATTGAAATTGGTCTTCCCCTCTTCATGGCGCTGCTCACCACAGCGTTACCGTCCGGCACCACCCAGCAGGTAGGGAGTTGTTTTGCCACAGTAGGGGGAGGGGGGGGAGCACACGTGGTGCATCGGCCAGTCATCTCAGTCAGTCAACCCATGGCACCTGGGTCTGTCCCGTGACCTCCTCCTGCCAGCGGGCGTTCGACACTTCACGTGGCCCTAAAGTGCACCTAGCCTATTCTAGATTTGAAGCTTTCGTGACTGCAAGGATTCATATTCTTAGTTTTTTTTCGGTAAAGTCACGTAGGTCAAAAATTAAAATTAATAAAAGTTAAATAAAATAAAAATCACGACGTTTTGGAGGCAACACAAGCTTCCGTCTTCAGGTGGAACCGTCACAGCACGATTGCTGTATCTTACTTGATTTTTATTTTATTTTTATTTTATTTTACTTTTATTTATTTTCATTTTTTACCTACGTGACTTTACCGAAAAAACCTAAGAATATGCACCTAGCCTGGCAAATGTGCCGTGGTGACGTCACCGCCACTTAGTGGCGAATGGCGGTTGTTGTTGTTGTTGTTGTGTCGGCCTAGTTGTTTTGACCGAGATCACACTGCCGTCTTAATAATAAATGTTTACCTTAATAATGAGAATTCACCGACGAGACCGTAACGCTTTGGACGTGATGGATGACCACGTGTATAAAACACGGCGACGCGTTCCAACAAATCGTCACATTTGTCTTCACCAACGATACTTTGAACGACACATTTTTCTTTTAAACCAGCGTTGAGCGTTGCCAAACTATATAAGCATCATATATATTTATTTGTTCATTTGATTTCACAACTGCGAACGACGCGTGACGTATTCCGGCAGGGATAATCACCCAAAGACCCCGGACCGGGGTAGGGGGGTGGGGGCTCCCACAATGCGCGAACACGCATCAGCATCATCAGCAGCATCATCATCATCAGCATCATCAGCATCATCATCATCATCATCAGCATCATCAGCATCATCATCATCATCATCAGCATCATCAGCATCATCATCATCATCAGCATCATCATCATCATCATCAGCATCATCAGCATCATCATCATCATCAGCATCATCAGCATCATCAGCATCATCATCATCATCATCAAACACACGCGACCTCTCACGGTATTTATATAAACATCTTGCCAAACGATCGCTCTCTGCTCGCTCGGCCCCCTGAAAGAGATAGACAGACAGCCTATTCAGTGTCGGGGGAATTCATTCGAGCTGCCTTTGCCTATTTAGCACCCCGCGGTTGCGTCGTGCGGATGTTACTCCAGATGCCCTCGTTCACGAGCAAAAGGTCAAAGGGCGAAGGTCAAAGGAGCAAAGGTTAGAGAGCGACCTAAACTAAGAGTGACAACTCGCGTGGTCCATCCACCAAAGCATCCATCAAGGAGGGAGTACGAAATATATCCTTTCTGTTTTTTTACATTCATGTCCGACGAGAATCGTAATTCTTATATATATATATAAACTATATATATGTTGTTTTCAATCATTTTACAGGTCGGTAAATAATGTAATCTGTTTTCTTAGTTTAATGCCGTAAGGGAGAACAAAACTAAATTTGAATCATTCGGGAGCCGAACGACCTTTCCCAGTTCTGCCCAAGCAACAGAAAATAAATGTTCTCGAGGGACAAAAAAACACAGACTAATTTTAATGTTTTTCTTACGCTATTGACTGTGCAAGACCACCATGGCGGCAGATAATAACTTGATATATAATATATATTCAAGACGTTTCAGTTGCATTTTTCCATCTGTCTTGACGCACGTGCCAAAGGCAATCGGATCTACGGACCGCGGCTACATGAACATCCTGGCAGTCGTCAACCGTCCTGCGTCCGGTCTCCGCACTCCCCGTCAAGCCGGCCCAGGTACGGTTTAACAACACCTAGGGGGGTCAACATGGTGATCGACCTCACGGCATAGGTGGCTCGCTCATCAGCGTGCCAGTCGCCTCCTTATAGCTCTTCTATCGCTACTGCCATGGTCGCTGTTCCCACGAACTTCGCTCATTGATTCCTCAAGATTGAGGCATTTCGGTCTGAACGATCCATCACACTGTTCAACCACCACCACCAAACACAAAGATCCCCCGCATAGCCTTAAAAGACTCTTGGGGCAAGCGCTGTTAGTAAACACTTATGAAGGTCAGCACAATACACAAGGGGGTGGGTAGCTAGCACCACGCCTGGCCGCATTTGGGTCCCCAGTGGGGATGTTTACGCACCGCACCAGGTACTCATTTGAGGCTGAGTCGACCAAGGGGAGGCCCAGGACCCTTTCGGATAATCGTCGTTGGTGTTGGCCCGTGAGAGGGGATCGAACTCAGGCACCGGGTTCATAGCACAGGGTGCTAAACATTGCACTACCGCTCCCCACCACCACCAGCACCACCACCAGCACCACTCTGCAGGTCACGACACTTCTCTTTCTGCTTCTTCCCTTAGCACTGCTTGACTTTTGAATTCCCTCTCCTATCGTCTCTCTTCCCCAAACTCTTAAATAATAAATAAAACACCGTCACCATCTTGCTCAATGCAAGCAACGCGTTTACACCCCTTTCCTGCGATAGTGCTGTCTGTTGCTGGTCGCTTGACGTCTTGGGCTTTTGTTGTTGTTTTAAAATCGTATGCTGAGCAAATGCGTGTTAAATAAAATGCATGCCTTTGGGTCAGCCAGAGGTCGCAAAAGGGTTTTGATTCCTTACCCGTACCCGTACCCGGCCGCACCAGGGTCGAAAACGGGTACCCATACCCATACCCTACCCGATACCCGGCTACCCGTACCCGGCCGGGTATCGGGTAGGGTACGGGTACGGGTACCCGATTGCGACCTCTGGGATGAAGCCATGTTGCAGGCGTGGGTGGGTTGATTCTAGGAACTTGAATTGTGAGAAGAGACAAGACGTTGGGAAATGAGTGACAAACGGTGACTCACCAGTGACTCACGGCCTACCCGTACCCGGCCGCACCAGGGTCGCAAACGGGTACCCGTACCCGGCCGGGTACGGGTAGCCGGGTATCTGGTAGGGTACGGGTATCGGGTACCCGGTTGCGACCTCTGGGGTCAGCCCTTCGGAGGAGGAGGTTGCTGGTTCGTGCTAGATCAGCGAGATTGCCCAGGCGCTGGGCTGCAAGGTGTGCCAGGAGAGGGCAGTAAAGACAAAGGGGTTTGTGCACCCATCTGTGTGGACCTGTGAGTGTAACCACCTTTCGTATGCCGGCGATTTTTTTTTCTGTCTCGGAACACTTTCATTTCCTCTCCGACGTAAAATCCTCCTCGGAGGAGAGGCAAAAATAAGCAAGCAGATAGAAAACATATCTTGTCCATCCACATAATACAAAAACATTCTTTTACACATTCCCATCAGCCACGAGGCCTTCTGGAGGCGCATCATGTCAGCAGGATTGGTTCAATAAAAGCAAAACTCTGGACTGGTTTCGACAATCAGTGTCTCATTAGCATGATCATGCTACTGCAATTTTATAACGCGGTGCAATATTTCACGGAGGTAAAGGACTCTATGGAGCTTAAGCGTATTGCCGCTGCAAAGCCAGGTGAAAGAGTCGGGGGCCTTTAAAACAAAAGGTGAGGCCTTTAATAAAGAGGTGGGGACCTTTAAGAGAGAGGTGAGGCCTTTTAAGAAGAGGCGGTGGCCTTTAGAATAAGGTGAGGCCTTTAATAAAGAGGTGGGGACCTTTCAGATAGAGGTGGGCCTTTTAAGAAGAGGTGGGGGTTCATATTATTTGGGTCTTTCGGTAAAGTCATGTAGATAGGGTCAAGGAAAATAACAGCATTTTTTTACGAAAAACTACGACGTTTCGATCACAACACAAGCGATCGTCATCAGGCTGCTGAGGCAGACTGTTTCAAAGGTTTAAAATGGGTGTAGAATGGGTTTAGCCCATTTTAAACCTTTAAAACAGTCTGCCTCTGCAGCTTTTCCCCCTCCTTTTTCCTCCTGATGACGATCCCTTCTGTTGTGATCGAACCGTCGTAGTTTATTTGTATTTTATTTGAACCTATCTACGTGACTTTACCGACAGACCCAAATAATGTAAATTTCTGCAGTCACGAAAGCTTTAAGTCACGTTTTAAGAGGTGGGGGCCTTTTAAAAAAAGGCAAGGCCTTTAATAAAGAGGTGGTGACCTTTAAAAGCATATATGAGGCCTTAAATAAAAACCTTTAAGAGAGACGTGTGGCCTTTTTAGAAGAGGTGGGGGCCTTTAAAAAAGAGGTGAGGCCTGAAAAAAAGAGATGGGGACCTTTGAGAGAGACGAGGGGCTTTTAAGTATTCATATTCTTAGGTTTTTTCGGTAAAGTCACGTAGGTAAAAAATAAAAATTAATAAAAGTAAAATAAAATAAAAATCACGACGTTTCGGAGGCAACACAAGCTTCCGTCTTCAGGTGGAACCGTCACAGCACGATTGCTGCATCAAGTAAGAGAAATTCCAAGAAAACAGTACTTGTATATATACTGGTTGAGGGTGGGAGGAGCCAAGGCAGGCTTTTAATTGTCTTTTAAATGTCGGCGTAGATTGAAAGCTGCCACGAGTGTGCAGAGGGATGATGGAATTCCATCAGTGGAGTCAGTATTCTTGGTTGAACCAATGCTGGTGAGCTGCCTGATGTTTCATAGGCAATGGTTCTTTCACATACGGCTCCTGGTTCAGCAGGATAATTGTCTTGCTCATTTATTGTGTTCCTTATATTCTCCACAACGACACGGCACGAATGATTATGACCGCGCTATAACGCCATGACAAATTAAGAAATTACCCCAACATCCCCAAAAAGCAGGACCCCTTCTCAACCGCTTTCCCGAATGAAGACAATGTCATTAATTATTTAATGTGATTAACAATTACATTTTCGTGAGAAAAAAAAAATAACCTTCGTATGGAAATATATCAGAGTTATGTTGCGAATGGCCTGTTCAATCTTCGCATTAATAGGGGCCTACTTTTTCGTCCCCCCAAGGTTCTGAGCCAAGTTGTCAACATTATTGGACTTTAATTATCAATATTTACCAGCCACTTGTACAAACAGACCGATCGTAGGAATCTTATGAGTTGCAGCAAAAAAAAACTAAACAACAGAATACTGACTTTCAATAAAACCAACCTGACGTTTCATCCCGATTTTCGCATACCGATTAAAACACTGGTGTTTAAATATAGTTTATTAAATGCCCATCTTTCCCTTTACACTTAAGTAATGGTTGATGGGGTCTTTATTAACCGCTGTGCAATGTCGTTGCTGAGTAAAAAAAAAACTTAACGTAACCATGTATGTTCTAACTACATCACACACACACACACAATACATGATATTCATAAGCGTGAAGCGAGAATGGGTTATTTGCGAAGCATTGCGTTATTATAACGATAGCCAAAGTGTAATGTGGTGTCCATGTAAACTCAAAAGCGCAAACAAATTTGCTTTGTAGCCTTCCGGCAACAAAAAACAACGGCAGCGCTGAAGGGATGACGAGTTGAACGTTTTAGCGTTTTAAACGATCAATGTATAGCAGATTATAGATTATCTGGCAGCTTCGAGGGGAAGGGGGCGCCGGATTTTCAAAAACACAACATTATTTAAAATAGCTTTTTTTGCACATTCTTGTATACCATTATGTTTTGAGGCATTGTGTATACGTTTTTTAATGTTTTAAATGTGTTAACTATGTAAAATTATCATGAATAAACATACAAATAGACAAAAATAAATACCCTCTTGTAAAAAGTTACCATATTCAATGTACCGTACTTACCACACCAATCTCGAAGACTCTGCATGGGGCGATGATAGGGGTTGCGTAGAATTTGACACTGAAATCAAGCATAGCTACTTTTTTTTGTCATGCACACCTGTACCGATTGCTGGACCGGCTACTGACTTTGCCGGTTTCACCCGATTGGACTGGGACCGCCGATAATGTTGGAAGCCGGATAATCGTGAGTTGGATAATTAATCGATGGCCGACTGTAATCCATTATTCTCATGGCTTGCGTTCTCGTAAGAGCGGCTGCAATGGCGGTCACGGCGATAATCAACTAAACATTCTAACCCTTTCACGGCAGAACTTCGGGTCAATCTATGGAAAGGTGCGTCGCTGAAGTTGGTTGTGCAACAAGTTTTGGTGCTCGAGGATTTGAAAAAGAAATAAGAGTGAGAGAGATTAGTTCGAGAGGAAAAAATAAATAAATCGCTGCTTTCTTCCATATAAATACATCACGTGCTTCTCAAGGCGGCCATTTTAAGTGGCGCAGGCATCACGGTGGACGCCTAAACAGTGGCCATCTTGTGGCAAAGGGCAGACGGTGGGGGGGGGGGGGACCATGAGGGTCACGACCCCGGGGTCACAGCCCTGGGGTCACGGCCTCCAGGGTCACAGCCCCGTGATAGGCTTTCCCTATCCAGTTGGCCTCGCTCACCTCACCAATGAAAAAGGTTATCAACTTTTCCACTGGACATCAAACCCAGACAATATATATATTTTTCTAAGTCAGCACTACACCCTGAACGTGCAAACAGATGACGCCGATTCCTAGGAACGTTCGGGTCAAATCGGGACAAGGTGGCAACCCTACCACAACCCCGGTACCCACTCCTCACCCTCACCAGCCCTCAAACCCTCACCATTCACTTTGCGGTGAACTCACATGGACCTGATATGCATTGCGCCCCAATGTCCCGCGACGACTTCATTGCCACAAATCGCCGGAGGAAATGAAAACACGACAAACACCCGACGAGAGTTGACGTGAGCCCCATTTTAGACCCGGTCTTCGGGGCGACGACGGCCACTGCACAACAAAAGAGAGGGAGAGAGCAATGACTTCTGGACTGAAAGAGAGAGGGGGGGGAGGCAGGGGTAGGTGAGCGAGCCGTTTGCCTGCAGAAACTGCGGCTGTACCCGCTGACGACGAAGGGGTCGCCCGTTGCCGTGCCGCCACTCGCCGGTGCGAGCAACCTTTTAGAAAACATCGGTGGGAAGCACTGATAGGCACATGGCACGATGGTGCCCGTGGGTGGCTGGACACCCCCCCCCCCCTCCCTGGTGCGCTCACTGTGTCGTGTTTCAGTGGGAAACCCCCTCGAAACAGCCTTGTGACCCCCTCGAGACTTGGCCCAAGGTCTCGTTGCGGCGGCCTCTTTACTCACCGGGTTCGCCACCTTTCATCACCACGACAAGGTTTTTGTTACGAGAGCAGTGCAGATTACTGCCAATGGTAATCCTCGCAGCAGCAGCAGTGGCTATTGGCTAGCCATTGAAAACAAAGACAGTAACCGCAACGCGTGCCTCTTACAGATGCGCTTCTGTGGCCATCTGGAACGCTCTTCCCTTCCAATATTCGAAAGCCACCGGAGCTATGGATTTTAAATAATCTAGATTAAAAAGTATTTCTTTACAAATGCTTTTTGTGTTTAGTTTGTTGTCCTTCCCCCCGCACCTCCAATTAGCACGGTTGGCTACGTATGGTGCAAAAGAAGAAGTTCAACATACATACATATGATGCCAATCCCAAGAGTGTCCAGGTAAACTCTGGACAAGGTGGCAACCCCAGTGGGTGGCTGGATGGGTGAGTGAGCGGGTCAGACGGTGGACGAGTGAGTGGGTGAGTGAGTATATGTGTGGGTAGGTGGGTGGGCGAGTGGATAGATGGGTGAGTGAGCTAGTGAGAGAATGGATGAGTATGTATATGGGTAGGAGAGCAGATGGGTGAGTGGGTAGGTGGGTTCGTGGGTGGGTAAACGGTTTAGCTAGTGGTAGGCTTGCCACCTTCTCCACAATACAATGCAGGTACCGGATCTCCGTTACAAATAATTTACTACCAAACGAAGACAGGTGGCAAACCGTGCCTCTCCGAGAGGAGTGGCATGTGTCCCGTGGCTGCCCCACACGGCTGGTGGCGCCAAAATCCCCGCTGGCAGCCGTGGTCGCTCGTCTTTTCGTCACCCTTTAAAATCTCCGGCCATCGGCATCGTGCAATGCATGATACCAAGTGCCCTTTTTTTCGGAAAAAAAATGGCTCAGAGTGAGTGGTGCATCACCCCGTGCCGTAGTTAGATGTCACGCAAGTTCTCCAGGTCAGCCGGTCAGGCGATCTTTGTTTCATCCGCAGACGGGGAGGTGCGCGCCTTTGCTCATTGCTTGGCAGTGAAGCCATTTCGCAAACTTCCCAGGCCTGAAATGTAGCCATATGAAGTGTGATTGGTTAAAAAAGAAAACTGCTGAACAGTCGTTGGTTACCGGGTTGAAGACCATCAACTCACGAAACCTGAGAACCCGTTTATTCATGGGTGGCTCAATCCAGGATTGATTGGAATCCAGTGCCTCGGCGGCACTTGTCTGACCCCTGAGCCACGCAACCCTCCTCTCATCTCCTCCGACTTGCTTCCCGGGTCACGTGCCCACAGCTCCCCATACATTGGCCTCCTCGCTGTTGCTGCCACACTCGCACAGAGGCCCTCCCTGCCCTCTTGGTGCCATTGCGTGAGGCCCCTTGGCACCTTCTCCTCCGGCTCAGCGACGACAATGACGGCGACGAGGTGGCGGCGGCGTCACAGCGACGAGGAGCTCTGCGTGTAGTCCTTGAGGAGGAGCGCGGCGTAGCTGGGTGGGGAGGCGAAGTAGGGGCCATGCTCCGAGAAGGGCGAGCCTGTGGGTGATTCGCTTGAGCACAGCGAGTCCTGGAACGGGGACGGCGGAGCGATCAGCGGTGGCTCGGGGTCAACGTTGGCCGTGTAGCTATCGCCGCTGCCACCACTGCCACCGCCACCGCCGCCACCGCCGCCACCGCCGCCACCGCCGCCACCACCGCCGCCACCGCCACCGCCACCACCGCCGCCACCGCCGCCACTACCGCCACCGCCGCCGCCGAAAGACGACTTAGCGGCAGCAGCAGCGGCCGCCCGGGCGCACTCGGGGCAATCTTCAAAGAGGTGGGAGGCACCGCCACCACCACCCCCACGCGTCGAGTAGTTGTCTCCCGGTGCGGTGTAGGCCCGGCCGTAGAGCTGCGTGGGGTTCCTCCGTGCCGCTGGGCCCGCGCCTTGAGGGGGACACGGCGGCGTCGTCGGCCCCCTCGACGATGATGACGACGCGGCCATGGCGGGCAGGCCCCGCGCCACCAGCGACGGCCCAGGCACCGGCGCGGCCCGCCCACCGCCCGGCGAGCTCTCGGCCGCCGCCGTGATGGATGCGAGCTGGCCGGGCCGCGGCAACCGGCTTCGGCACGCCGCGTAGTCTTCGGGCGGCGACGCCGCCGAAGGCCCCGGCCCGAGGTTCAGGTCGGGCAACGCCATCCGAGGCCTCCCCTTGAGAGGCCCCGTGGCGGCCGGGTCAGAGGTAGCGGCGGACGGGCCCCGTTCGCCCTTGCCGAGGGCCGGGTCACGCGGCTCCGTCCGCACCAGGCCCCGGCGCGCGAAGAACGACTCGTCGGGTGCCGGGAACGACAGCTCGGCGTAGGTGGTTGGCATCGCCGGCGTCGCGCCGGGGCCCGGCAACTCCGTCTCGGAGCAGTCTCGGCTGCTGCCGGCTGCCACCGCCGCATCGCCCTGGCAGCTGCCCTGGTAGCTGCCCTGGTAGCTGCCCTGCCGGCGGACCACGATGCTGTCGTGGTGGCTGCCGAAACTGCGTCCGCACCGCGGGGTCCCTTCGGCGTCCACCTGCAAGGGGGTCGCGCGGCGGAACGACGGACGGAACGTTTCGACTCTTTCTTAGTCTCTTTCTTTTCCCCCCGACCCAACTGCGTTTTCAGCAGTTTGCCGTCGCGTTGTTATGAGATGCAGAATAATCTGTAACAAGCGTTATAGTGATGATAATAATACATGATTTGGTGGTGGTGGTGGTGACGCTGCTGCTGCGTTGGCAGTGGTGCACAAGCACGCACAAAAAAAAAAACAAATTCACAATCAATCACCGTGTGTTTGGGTGTTTGGCCTTAAATGATGAAAAATATATTATAGGCGACGTTTGGGGCAATGACCCTAATAATGATAATAATATTTGTGTTGCTGCTGCTGTAGGTGGTGCTGCTGTTGGTGCTGCTCGTGGTTGTGCTACTGCTGGTGATGCTACTGCTGGTGGTGCCTGGTGATGCTACTGCTGGTGATGCTACTGCTGGTGATGCTACTGCTGGTGGTGCTTGGTGATGCTACTGCTGGTGATGCTACTGTTGGTGATGATACTGCTGGTGGTGCTTGGTGATGCTACTGCTGGTGATGCTACTGTTGGTGGTGCTACTGCTGGTGATGCCTGGTGATGCTACTGCTGGTGATGCTACTGCTGGTGATGCTACTGCTGGTGATGCTACTGCTGGTGGTGCCTGGTGATGCTACTGCTGGTGATGCTACTGATGGTGGTGCCTGGTGATGCTACTGCTGGTGATGCTACTGCTGGTGATGCTACTGCTGGTGGTGCCTGGTGATGCTACTGCTGGTGATGCTACTGCTGGTGATGCTACTGCTGGTGATGCTACTGCTAGTGCAGGCAGTGGTCACGGTGACAATGAGTGGCCCTGCCCCCCCCCCCTGGACATTCCCCACCCCCCCCGGCCGGGCACCTCGCTCAGGTTGTACAGCCCCTTGCTGCTGATCTCGGCGAAGCGCAGGCTGCCGCGCAGCTCCAGCGCCGCGGGCTTGGCGAACGGCTTGATCACGGCCGTCTGGTTCTTGGAGGCGCCACCGCCGCCGCTGCCGCCACCGTCACGTGTCCGCACGCGCGCCGAGATGCGCCGGAGGACTCCGACGGTGCGCGAGTGTCCCTCGCTGGGCACCCACGAGCTCGACTTGCCGCTGGAGCTTGATGGAGGGAGCGGGGGGTGGGTGGGGACGGGGGGTGGGGTGGGGGAGACGGGGGGGAGGGGGGTGGGGTGGGGGGTGGCAGGGGGTGGGGGGAGAGGGGGTTGTGGTGGGTTTGGGAGGGGGGTGGGGGTGGGGAGGGGGGTGGGGGGGACGGGGGGGTGTGGTGGCGGGGGGTGGGGAGGACGGGGGTAGGGTTTGGGGGAGAGGGGGGTGGGGGGGGACAGGGGGGCGGGGTGGGAGGGTGGTGGGGGGGGACGGGGGGTGGGGTGGGGGGGAAGGGGGTGGGGGTGACGGGGGTGGGTGGGGGGGCGACGGGGGGTGGGGGGACGAGGGGGGGGAGAACAAGGAAGAAATACGGTGTTTGTCATCAGCTCCCTTCCCCAGGTCCCTGCCCCAGCTCCCTCTGTCCCCAAGCTCTCTTCCTCACCTTCCTTCTCCAGCTTTTCACCAATTACCTTCCTTCCCCAGCTCTCTTCCCTACCTCCCTTCCCTCCCCAGCTCCCTTCCTTCCCCAGCTCCCCATGGTGCAGTTGAGCAGCAGCAGCAGCAGTCTCCACAACAAGCGGCGTAGCTAACGAGAGTGCAGGCAATGCGGTTGCACACTCGCCCAGAGGTCGCAACCGGGTACCCGATACCCGTACCCTACCCGATACCCGGCTACCCGTACCCGGCCGGGTACGGGTAGCCGGGTATCTGTTTGCGACCCTGGTGCGGCTGGGTACGGGTACGGGTAGGCCGTGAGTCACTGGTGAGTAACCGTTTGTCACTCATTTCGGGTAGGGTACGGGTAGGGAACGGGTACCTGTACCCGGCTGGGTACCCGGCTGGGTACGGGTACCCATTTGCGACCCTGGTGTGGCCGGGTACGGGTACGGGTAAGGAATCAAAACCCGTTTGCGACCTCTGCACTCGGCCCGAGGGCCGGAGGGTGCCGAGGTGCCGGATGACACAAGGCGGCAGGGGGCAAGGATGGCACAGGGGCACGAGACAAAGGGGTGACCCCCATTTCAAAATCTCAGAATCATTATTTAGCATTAGAAAATAATCCGATGAGCTATGAAGCTTCGTTTTTTTTTGTTTTGCACCAGGGCCCATGCCAACCGTGCCATGCCGCTGTCTCATGTAAATATTCGTGTAAATTGATAAATGCATTATCAACGGACACTTCAGTTTTCCCGTTCATTGCCCGTTGATGTTGGGGAGTGGTGGCGCGCACGGGAGTTAGTCCACGGTGCAAAGAACCCAGAGCAGCTTGAGATTAAATTCCCATCCACGGTTGACCTCGAGGGCATCCGAAACCGATCCCCTGCAGAAGGATCATTAACCGGCAAAAAAACACCCACCAGCCTCTTGTGTTTCCCGAACCAGCCGGCGTTAATGGTGAACCTGGTGAATTTTGCGTCAACCTCTCCGCTGCCTCGCTCCCGGCCGCCCTCTGAAGCGAGGCCACCGCCGAGAATATCCGTCTCGTTATATATTTATACATCTCTCTGTCACGGTAGTGGATGAGTGGGTGGATGGGTGGGTGAGTGGGTGAGTGGGTGGGTGAGTCTGTGAGTGGGTGGGTGGGTGAGTGGGTCAGTGAGTGGGTGAGTGGGTGAGTGGGTGGGTTAGTGGGTGAGTGGGTGAGTGAGTGGGTGAGTGGGTGAGTGAGTGGGTGGGTGAGTGGGTGAGTGGGTGGGTGAGTGGGTGAGTGGGTGGGTGAGTGGGTGGGTGGGTGAGTGGGTGAGCGGGTGAGTGGGTGAGCGGGTGAGTGGGTGGGTGGGTGAGTGGGTGAGTGAGTGGGTGGGTGAGTGGGTGAGTGAGTGGGTGAGTGGGTGAGTGAGTGGGTGAGTGGGTGAGTGAGTGGGTGAGTGGGTGAGTGGGTGAGCGGGTGAGTGGGTGAGTGGGTGGGTGAGTGAGTGGGTGAGTGAGTGGGTGAGTGAGTGGGTGAGTGAGTGGGTGAGTGGGTGGGTGAGTGGGTGGATGAGTGGGTGAGTGGATGGGTGGGAAGGCGACGGGTCCGCCGTCCCCTGCCACCCGCGCAGACCTGACCATCGGTCGCAACGTCGCCCGCACTCTAAACTACAAAAAAAAATCCAATTTTTACTTTAACCAGGTAAGTGCCCGCTGAGCCTCCACAGCTCTTTTTGTCAGACGCGACCCGCCCGCCCGCCGGCCCACCTCTCCGCCGTGGTGGTGGCGGCGCTGCCAGCTTTGGGGGGCTCCTCGGAGGGCGTCGACCTGCGCCGGGGGCAGAAGAGGCCGAGCAGGCTGGAGGAGCGGCTCGTCACCTTGGCGTCACGCACGTGCATGCGCACTACGCTCGACGTGGTGAACGCGCTGCGAACGTTGCGCTCGGGCTTGGCCAGGATGATGTAGACCTTGGGCAGGAACATGCAACCCAGCACCACGGTGGAGCTGAGGCTCACGCAGAGGCACGTGGTCACGATCTTGTACTTGCTGCCGAAGTAGATGGGCACGAAGGCCAGCCAGATGATGCACGTGGTGTACATGGTGAAAGCGATGTACTTGGCCTCGTTGAAGTTCTCCGGGACGTTCCGCGTCTGAGCGGGGAGGGGGGCAAAACGACACGCACTCTCTCTCTCTGTCTCTCTCTCTCTCCCCGCCTGAAGGCCCTCTCGTCGTGGCTACCAGGAGGCACCTCCATTTCGGTGGCATTTAGCTCCTGGACATATTGCTATCATACGCGAGAAGATGACTCAGATGCATATAGACGCATAGAGAAGCACAGCGATGCACAGGGAGGCACGGATAAGCATGAGAGATGCATTATAGACAAGGCAACAGTTTGTGGCCATGCAATCCGAGCTATGGACCACAGAATAAACCCACTGTGGCCTGCGCTCACTTTCAATCAAGGAGGAGGAACAGCAAAACGACGCGAGCTTTCTGTCTCTGCTGAAGCCCTCTCGTCGCGGCTGACATTTAGCTCGGGAACACATTGCCGCTGCAGTCGCGCGCCAGAACGGAATGACATTTCCGAAAGAGCAATCACCAACGACAGCGCGTCGAACAATTTGGCAGGGACTTTTTCTCGCCGGGAGTTAAACAAGAAAAAAACAACCCCCCCACCCCCCAGCGTCATCATCGTCATCAGCATCAAGAGGCGATTTCAGGAACGCGGTGAACACCACAGAGGAGTGGACACCACCGCAGGAGGTCCAGTTTGCCGTGTCGGGTGGAGGAGAGCCGCACGACACACACACACGAAACTGACTGGTTGATTCGCCGGCCGCTCGTTGGAAACGACAGCGGATGTGGCAACCCTCATGTCCCACCCCCCCCACCCACCCTCTCACGTGACCCCCACCCCGCGCGTGCCCTACACCGTGGCCTGCGCACCTTGAAGGCGTAGTAGGTGCAGCTCATGATGAGGAGGCCGTTGAAGCCGAGAGGGGCCACCATGGCCAGGTTGGAGGTGTTGCAGATGAGGTTTACCTCGCGCACGCTCGGGTAGTCGAACACCACCTGGGATGGAGGGGGATGCAGGGAGGGAGGGAGGAGGGAGAGTGAGAGTGAGAGTTGGAGGGAGAGAGGGAGGGAGGAGGGATGGAGGGATGGAGGGAGGGAGGGATGGAGGGAGAGTAAGAGTCACTCCCGATGTGAAACTCAAAACATTCGTCTATAACGCTCTGGTCTTAAAACGAAAAAAGAAACATGTAAGAGGTGACGTGTCGGGCAATGGCACTCAAGGAATATTATTTAAACATAAATCACAATATGTGTAGACCTGGCTAAGAGACACCCACATTAACTACGGTCCCGAAATTAAAACACTTTGCTTTTGCTGTTCCTAGAGTAATAAACCCAAACAGACACATAATATTGCAGATACAGAGTCGCTCCTACATGGTTATGACCTCTCAGACTAAAATGTGCCTTCCAACATATTTAAATCTTCGAGTACTCGGAGCTCGAGTCCTCATATCCTGAGTTCCAGAGTCTCGGGACTCAGATACTTTGGGATTGGCGACCGGTGAGTCTTCGGGTCTTGAGTTCCAATATTCTAAGTTCCAGGATACGGAGACTCAGGGTGCAAAGTCTCAGAGTCCATTTACACACGGATAATGATTTGTCCTCGGCTTTCATCAATTCGCGATCTGCTTATTTGCTTTTGAGTGGAAATCATTGGCCGTTTTTAAACGCTGCATTTGTCTCATGAAATGTCCTAACGAAAGTTTAACGCTATTATAATCAGCACTCGTTCATACAAATGAACGAGATAGATCGTCTGCGTGTAACAAGAGAAATAAAAAAACAAAGATGAGAAAATCAGACGAACACAGCCAAATCAATAAGACAATGAGATGAATAGAGTGAAGGAGGCTTGTGCGTCCGTGTGTGTGCGCGCGCACGTGTGTGTGCGCGCACGTGTGTGTGTGCGCGTGCACGTGTGTGTGTGTGCACACGTGCGTGTGTGTGTGACGCACGTGTGTGTGTGTGTGTCACGCACGGGGAGCGGTGGTGCAGTATTTAGCGTGCTCCGCCTCGAACCCAGCGACCCGAGTTCGATTGCCGCTCATGGCCATCACCAGTGACGATTATCAGAACCGGTTCTGAGCCTCCCCTAGGTCGACTCAGCATAAAATGAGTGCCTGGCGCGCTGTGTAAAAATCGCCACTATATGGAAACAAAAGTGGCTGGGCGTGGTGCTGGCCACCCACCCCCTCGCCTTCATATGCGCTACGCGCCAACACCACTTGCCCCAACAGTTTGTCGAGGCTATACGGGGGGTCTTTGCCTTTGTGCGTGCGTCTATTCACCTGCGGCGTCTCCACCACCACCAGCGCGATCAGGATGCCCAGCTCGACGCACACCAGCAGCGAGGCGATCACCATCTGCACACAAAGACAAAGATCCCCCGTATAGCCTCAGAACAGACTCTTGGGGGCAAGTGCTTATTAGCGAATTGCCCCTGTGAAGGCGGGCACGAGGGGGTGGCCAGCCAACACGCGCAGCCGCCTTTGTCTCCATAGCGGCAACACGAACGTTCACCCACGCACCTACGTACACACACGCACCTACGTACACACACGCACCTACGTACACACACGCTCCTACGTACACACACGCACCGACGTACACGCACGCCCCAACGTACACACACGCACCTACGTACACACACGCACCGACGTACACACACGCACCTACGTACACCCACGCACCTACGTACACACACGCACCTACGTACACCCACGCACCGACGTACACACAGGCACCGACGTACACACACGCACCGACGTACACACACGCACCTACGTACACACACGCACCTACGTACACACACGCTCCTACGTACACACACGCTCCTACGTACACACACGCACCGACGTGATGATGATGGTTGCGTGTGTTGCGATCGAAACGTCGTGATCTATTAATTTTCTATCTACGTTCAAGTTCAAGTTCATTTATTAGGTATAGCCCTGTGAGCCATTTGGCTCTTGAATCGGGTGCAACCGCAACAAACAGAAAACAAAAACATGAACAAGAAAACATCTTGTTGGACTTATGTGCCCGTGCTAATGTGTCTTTTCGATGATTTACCATCTTAAAACAAAACCTGGTCATGTCTTACAACCCCTCCTCCCCCCCAGAAAGGGCATCTCACACCTCCAGGGGATGTGTGCACCCCCAGGTTACAAACCACTGAGATGTTGGCAATAGCAACACTGCAGTGTTCACGTTTCGCAACTAAGGGTGGCTGCCAACAGCGGCGTCAATGTTCAGCCACAATGGATTTACATCCCCGAGGTCGCTGGTTCGATTCGATCTCCAGGCGCGGCAGGCGAAACGATTGGGGTATAGGGGGGGAGAGGTGGCTGGACCTCGTGCATCACCTTCGACCCGCCTCTGTCCAGCCAGCGGTCAGCCTACGATCGGTAGGTCACGCGTGGCTGGGGTAAAGTGCGGGCACCCCCACCTCCTCCACGACGTCTCGCCGGCGTGGAAGAGTAGGCCAATTACACACTCGAGAGAAGAGGACCTATACTTGTCAGCAGTGGCGCGGGCAAGTCATTGCAGGGGCTGCGCTTTTACCTCTGCACTCATTAAGGAGAGGACGGCAATCGCGAATTCTACTCAGCCGGTCATCGTCGGCACTGTCACACGGCATGGGACGCAAATGACTCGGTTCACTGAAGGCGAGGATTGCGTATTGTGATCGCAGGGTTGCGCTTTTAGAGTCCCAGCGAAGCCGATGGAGGTGTGGCAGATGACTCTGCGAATTATATAACAAAAAATTTAACTAAGGACGCAATTAATTCTAGATTTGAAGTCTTCGTGACTTTTTGTTTTTTTCGGTAAAGTCACGTAGGTAAAAAAAATAAAAAAGTGAAAACAAATAAATTAAATTACAAAAATAAAATTAAATAAAAATGAAAAGAACTAAATTAAATGTAGTTGTCAAAAAAATAAAAAAGTGAAACAACTAAATTAAATCACAAAAATAAAATTAAATAAAAATGAAAACAACTAAATTAAATTTAGTTGTAAAAAAAATAAAAAAGTGAAAACTAAATTAAATCACAAAAATAAAATGAAAACAACTACATTAAATTAAATGTAGTCGTTTTCATTTTTATTATATTTTGTGATTGAATTTAGTTGTTTTCACTTTTTCATTTTTTACCTACGTGACTTTACCGAAAATACCAAAGAGTTTGGACGCAATTCATCTTTGCTATCAAATCAATTCAGCGAACCAACGTCGATGATGATGATGATCACGACGCTACCCGGCGATTCAGAATACGAATTTATGCCGGAGGAATCCGATGAGCTATGAAGCTCTTTTTCACAGCTGCCCCCCAGCAGGTTGTCTCTCCCCATCGCTCATCTCCGCCGCGGTCTCTCTTTTTTTTTACGATCAGTGGAAACAAGAAGATGCTCGGTGTAGTCGGCACTTTGCTTCGTTCATCATTTCGTATTTTTAAAAAAAAATTTTTAACTTTGCTTAATGTAAACCCCCACCTCTCGCTCACTCTCTCGCTCACTCTCTCGGTCACTCTCTCGCTCACTCTCTCGCTCACTCTCTCGCTCACTTTCTCGCTCACTGCTTTCCATTCCTCCGCCCTCCTCTGACAAGACGCTCCTTGTGGTGCGCACAATTTGTTATTGCCATAATTTGGTGGGTGGGGTGGGAGAGGATGGTGGGTGGGGGGTGAACATTTTCTCTAAATTTGGCGCAGTGACACCTGGCACACCACCGAGTGCCCTCCCCTCTGGCTCGCTCGGGAGAACAATGCCGTAGCATAGTTTCATAGTTTCACGTTGAGCGCCAATTATCGGGTGGTGGCACGCGGTCTCCGAACCGACAGTCCGTTGCGGGAAGCTTCTAATTACGAGAGAGAGAGGGAGGGGGGGGGGAGAGGGGGGGGGGGGGACAGGGGAGAGAGAGAAAGAGGGGAAGACGGAGGGGGAGAGAGAGGGGGAGAGGGTGAGAGAGACAGTAGGAGCATAGACATAGAGTAGGGAGAGAGGGGGTAGAGAGAGAGAGGGGGTAGAGAGAGAGGGGGGTAGAGAAAGAGGGGGGTAGAGAGAGGGGGTAAAGAGGGAAGGAAGGGGTAAGAAGGAGGAGAGCAGAGCGTAAAATCTGTCGTGAAATCTTTCATAAAAAAAGGGGGGGGGGGTGCACATAAAGCAACGCATTGAAAAAAAAATGAAATGATGAACGAAGCAAATTGCCGACTACACCGAGCATCTTCTTGTTTCCTCTGATCGTAAAAAAAAGAAAAAAAGAGAGTGAGAGAGATAGAGAGGGGAGAGTGGGAGAGGGGGGGATGGAGAGAGAGAGAGGGGGAGAGGACACACAGAGAGTCCGTCGGTGCACGGGGGAGAGAGTTAAATTGCCCAGGCCTGAGAGGCCCAATCAAAGTGTGGCAGGGTGGGGGGGTTTCACGCAGAGCAAGGGCGCCACGGTGGCTAGGAGATGTTAACTACCTCGCATGGTATACAGGAGGTCGTGGGGTCAATCAAGACCCTGACGATGCCTGCTGCTGTATATTTGGAGTTTGTGTGTCTCTCTCATCATCATCATCACGGTGGCTAGGAGATGTTAACTACCTCGCCTGGTATAAAGGAGGTCGTGGGTTCGATCCCGACCCTGACGACGCCTGCTGCTATATATATTGGAGTTTGTGTGTCTCTCTCTCATCATCATCATCACGGTGGCTAGGAGATGTTAACTACCTCGCCTGGTATAAAGGTGGTCGTGGGGTCGATCCCGACCCTGAAGATGCCTGCTGCTGTATATTTGGAGTTTGTGTGTCTCTCTCTCTCATCATCATCATCACGGTGGCTAGGAGATGTTAACTACCTCGCCTGGTATAAAGGAGGTCGTGGGGTCGATCCCGACCCTGACGACGCCTGCTGCTGTATATTTGGAGTTTTGGTGTCTCTCTCCCGCCGGGTCCTCCGGTTTTTCCCCCTCCACATTAAGAACCAACGTGCGTTTAGAGTAATTGGCTGCAATACATTGCCACACGATGATAAGCTACTTCGTTGAGCTATAAATTTCGGTGGCCAGGTCGCTTCTGAAAAAGAGATAGGTAGCTCAAGTGGGCCTTAACCTAGTAAAATAGAAAAGTACGATTCATCTAATAAAGCCTCGAAAATCTCAGCCAGATCACGATGAACTCTGCAGTTCCTGCCTGTCCAGAGTAAAACAACGCAGGCGTCTGGAACATATCAGAATCAGGATATCTATTTATACTGGAGGAATCCGATGATCTACAAAACTCTTTTTTCACGGATAAACACCTCCTCATTCGAAATACAAACACTTCCCAGCTTTGGTGTTACTCCTCGTGCTCCTCTTCATAGACACTGCCATACCCATCAACTCACTCATTCACCCGCCTACTCACTCAGCCACTCACCCACTCACTCAACACTGGGGTAATCGTCAACACACTCACCCATTCACTCGCCTACTCACTCACCCACCTGCTCGCCTACTCACTCACCCACCTGCTCGCTCACTCACTCAACACTGGGGTAATCGTCAACACCCTCACTCATTCACTCGCCTACTCACTCACCCACCCGCTCACTCACCCACTCACTCAACACTGGCGGAATTGTCAACACACTCACTCATTCACTCGCCTACTCACTCACCCACCTGCTCACTCACTCACTCAACACTGGGGTAATCGTCAACACCCTCACTCATTCACTCGCCTACTCACTCACCCATCCGCTCACTCACCCACTCACTCAACACTGGCGGAATTGTCAACACACTCACTCATTCACTCGCCTACTCACTCACCCACCCGCTCACTCACCCATTCACTCACTCCTCTCTCTCTCACTCCCTACTCACTCACTCACTCCCCTCTCATTCACTCCCACCTCTGCCCATCAAACAAAGACGATCACCGCATCGAGCGCTTTCAGATGCGCTGCTATGGCCGTCTGGAACGTTCTTCCCTTCCGATATTAGGAAGCCGCTGGAGCGATGCACTTTTAAAACTATATGGGAAACTCATTTCTTGAGAAATGCTTTTTATGGTTTAGTTTTCTGTCCTTCCCCCGCACCTCCGATTAGCATGATTGCCTACGTAGGGTGCGAAAGAAGCTCAACATACATACAACATACATACAGCATACATGCAACATATATACAGTCTCGAGACTTCTCATCTTTAATTTATGCTCACGCACCTCTTGAACGTCCTTTTCAAGTTCAACTTAGGCGCGTGATATGACTCCGATAATTACGAGTTCAGAACCAAAGCCGGTTGGCGCTCTCTGACCCGCTCCTACAACCTGTTGTTGTCATTGTTGCTGCTGCTGTTGTTGCTACTGCTGTTGTTGTTTTTGTTGCTGTTGTTGTTGATAGTGTTGTTGTTGCTGCTGCTGTTGTTGTTGTTGTTTTTGCTGTTGTTGTTGCTACTGCTGTTGTTGTTGCTGTTGTTGCTTCTGTTGTTGTTGCTGTGGTTGTTGCTGCTGCTGTTGTTACAACTCCTCGACGCCAACAGGATATGAAACCGCAGGGCCTGCTGGGCCGCTGGCCGAAACTTGCAGGCACTGGCTCCAAATTTTCTCGAGAGTGAATGATAAAAGCGGGGATGTTTGTGTGTAATATAAAAATATATTTTTTCGTAATATTCATAAAATAAAAATAACAATTACATTGTCGAAGCAAATTAATAAAAGAAAAAATTGCTTATACAAAAAAACGTTATAAAAAATATCGAATGCTTATAATTCAAGTGCCTCTTAGCGCAGGGTACGCCAAAGATGCACGTTGATGTTTTAGTCCATTAAGCGACTAATTATCCAACCGGGAGTTCGGACTCGGCTGAGTTTGCCGCTCCGCACGGCTCTTTCCCGTTTTAATGGAAGGGCGTCCATGAATTCGAATTAATGGAACGGCGAAATGTTTTTCAAGAGAGGACGAAAAAAATTCACAGATTCACAGAATCAAATGGAACTGTCACCGAAAAATGGTTAATTATCGCGCATTTGCTGACGGCAATTTATAGGGGCAAATACCCGCAGAAGAAAATGGAGAGATTATATACAGAATATGTGCTTCCACTTAACAACGCAGTGGCCTCTCTCATTGAATGATGCAGCTGTGCGGGGCAAAGTGCTGTCAGGGAGCACTGGCTGTGGGAAGCCGAGAGCTTTAACATCTTGCAGCTCACCAGAATTGGTGGTGAGATGTGAACTCCCTCGCCTGGTATGCAGGAGGTCGTCGCTTCGATCCCGACCCTGACGCCTGCTGCTGTATATTTGGAGTTTACGTGTCTCTCTCTCTCCGTGGTCGCGTGGATGTTTCTGAGGATCCTCCAGTTTTCTCTCGCACGTTTAGAATGAACGTGCGTTTAGATGATTTGGCTGCTATGCATTTGCTCGTGATAAACCACTTCGTCGAGTTATCATTTGTGACCCGGTCGCTTCTGATTAAAAGAGCTATTTATCTCAGTGGGCCTTCTTTACCTGGTAAAATAAAAAAAATATATAATAATAGGGTTTTCCCCCTTTTTTCTGGCAACAAAACTGAAACTTTTTTACAAGGAATCACGTGTGAATTAACTACAATACTTGTGGTCAAAATTCAAACAAAAGACACACTCTGATAATAGATGCATTGTCCTTGAAACTGATTGGTCCACACTAGAGACGGCTTTCTTTTCGTCTCAACTGGTGCTCGACCAGAGGACGCCAAAAGGCGTACAGCTCAAAGACAGCGGCACCATCAAAGTAATGAGGGATCGGGGTAAGCATCTACATCATTAGACCTCCTTTGCCAGTACCAACATATAATAATTAGGTTTTTCCCCTTTAAATAGTTTAGTTTTAAATTGGTTCGGGCGAGCCTGACTCTGCCGATGAGACGTAGAATGTCGAAACCGGCCCAGCCGTCGTGCTAGCACCAATGCTGCTGATACGGTGCACTCCACGTGATCGTATGGGACATGTAAAAAAAAAATCATTTTTTGTTCTGTACGTCCAAGGACAGAGACGGGAAGCATTGTTTGATTGTCTCTTTTGTTTTGCATTCGGCTGGGTGCGTCACCAGGCTCAGGGAATACAATAGCAAGTGATTGTCCACTTATTTTATGAGTGGATGTTTGCGTGGACGGGTAAGTTGAGCGGTCGAGTTGGTGGCTGGGCGGTTGGCCTGATGTCAGCCGCGAGCGATACCCGGACGCGCCACCACTGCTCCGAACGTGCGGCCACCTGAGTTCGATTCCCAGCCACGTCTAACGTCGGCGGGCGGGCGGGCGAGCGAGCGAGCGAGCAACATCCGGACGCACGCCACTGCGACCGTACTTACGACCTTGCGGTCACCCGAGTTCGAATCTCGAGCACGCCAAACAACGACATCGGGCGAGCGAGCGAGCGAGCGGGCGGAGCTGGCCCCTCACCTGCGCGCAGGCGCTCATGAAGCGCGGCTTGCGCGTGCAGATCTTCTTCTTGCTGCCGGCGAGGATGCGCGCGATGCGGTTGGTCTTGGTGACGAGCGCCGAGTACATGGCCGAGGAGGCGAGGCCCACGGCGATGCGCTGCACGTAGCAGCCGGCGCGCGTCGGGCGCGACACCAGCGCGAAGGTGCACGCGTAGCCGAGGCCGGCGCCCGCCAGCACCATGAGGCAGAGCTCGCGGCTCGACGACTTGACGACGGGCGTGTCGCGGAAGGCCACGAAGACGAGCGCCACGAAGGCCGTGGCGAGGAGGCCCGCGCACGAGAAAGCCACCGCCGCCAGAGCCTCCGCGTCGCCCCACTGCAGGTAGTACACGGGGATCTCCACGCAGCCTGCCGGGAAGCAGCGGGGGGGGGGGGGGGGGGCAACGCGGGTCCAGAAAGGGAGTGGGGAGGGGGGTGAGGGGCTCGGCGCGGTAGCAGCACCAGCAGCAGTAGCAGCATCATTATCATCATCAACAGTATCAGCAGCATCATCATCATCAGCTTCATCATCATCATCAACAGTATCATCATCAGCTTCATCATCATCATCAACAGCATCATCAGCAGCAGGATCGTCAGCAGCACCAGCAGCATGAGCAGCGTCATCATCAGCAGGGTCACGTGCAGCATCATCAACAGCATCAGCATCATCATCAGCAGCACCACGTGATTGTGCAACCTTTGAGGTCGTGGTCTGGCCAGGAGCCCTGGCGGCACGCCAAGCAGGTGAAGTCGTCCTGCACGATCTCGTTGTCCTTACACGGCGTGCACACCCAGCAGCAGCTCAGCTCGCCCTTACGGATCACCTGGAGGTCGGAGCCGCCGACCCAAAAGCACACAAAGGCAAAGATACCCCGTTGAGCGTCAACAGAATGTTGGGGCAAGTGCTGTTAGCGAGCACCTATGAAGGCCGGCACGGCACACGAGGGGGTGGGTGGCCAACACCCTAATGGCGATGTTTACACACCACACCAGGTACTCGTTTGAGACGAAGAGAGGCCCAGGACCGGTTCAGATATTCGTCAGTGTTGAATCTATGGGGCAGTGTTTAGTCTATAGGCAGTGTTGAATCTATGATGCAGTGTTGAGTCTATTGACAGTGTTGAGTCTATGTGCAGTGTTGAGTCTATGGGAAGTTTTGAGTCTATGGGCAGTGTTGAGTGTATGGGGCAGTGTTGAGTCTATGGGCGGTGTTGAGTCTATGGGCAGTGTTGAGTCTATGGGCAGCGTTGAGTCTATGGGGCAGTGTTGAGTCTATGGGGAGTGTTGAGTCTAAGGGGCAGCGTTGAGTCTATGGGCAGTGTTGCGTCTATGGGTAGTGTTACGTCTATGGGCAGCGCTGAGTCTATGGGGCAGTGGCGAGTCTATGGGGCACTGTTGAGTCTATGGGTAATGTTGAGTCTATGGGGCTGTGCTGAGTCTATGGGGCAGTGTTGAGTCTATGGGGCAGTGTTGAGTCTATGGGGCAGTGTTGAGTCTATGGGGCAGTGTTGAGTCTATGGGGCAGGGTTGAGGCAGTGTTGAGTCTATGGGCAGTGTTGAGTCTATGGGGCTGTGCTGAGTCTATGGGGCAGTGTTGAGTCTATGGGGCAGTGTTGAGTCTATGGGGCAGTGTTGAGTCTATGGGCAGTGTTGAGTCTATGGGGCAGTGTTGAGTCTATGGGACGCTTTGAGTCTATGGGCAGTGTTGAGTCTATGGGGCAGTGTTGAGGCAGTGTTGAGTCTATGGGCAGTGTTGAGTCTAAGGGCAGTGTTAAGTCTATAGTCAGCGCTGAGTCTATGGGCAGTGCTGAGTCTATGGGCAGTGCTGAGTCTATGGACAGTGTTGAGTCTATGGGCAGTGTTGAGTCTATGGGCAGTGTTGAGTCTATGGGCAGTGCTGAGTCTATGGACAGTGTTGAGTCTATGGGCAGTGCTGAGTCTATGGGCAGTGCTGAGTCTATGGACAGTGTTGAGTCTATGGACAGTGTTGAGTCTATGGGCAGTGTTGAGTCTATGGGCAGTGTTGAGGCTATGGACAGTGTTGAGTCTATGGACAGTGTTGAGTCTATGGGCAGTGTTGAGTCTATGGACAGTGTTGAGTCTATGGGCAGTGCTGAGTCTATGGACAGTGTTGAGTCTATGGACAGTGCTGAGTCTATGGGCAGTGCTGAGTCTATGGACAGTGTTGAGTCTATGGACAGTGTTGAGTCTATGGACAGTGTTGAGTCTATGGGCAGTGCTGAGTCTATGGGCAGTGCTGAGTCTATGGGCAGTGCTGAGTCTATGGACAGTGTTGAGTCTATGGACAGTGTTGAGTCTATGGACAGTGTTGAGTCTATGGGCAGTGTTGATTCTATGGACAGTGTTGAGTCTATGGACAGTGCTGAGTCTATGGACAGTGTTGAGTCTATGGACAGTGCTGAGTCTATGGACAGTGCTGAGTCTATGGGCAGTGCTGAGTCTATGGACAGTGCTGAGTCTATGGGCAGTGCTGAGTCTATGGACAGTGTTGAGTCTATGGACAGTGCTGAGTCTATGGACAGTGCTGAGTCTATGGGCAGTGCTGAGTCTATGGACAGTGTTGAGTCTATGGACAGTGCTGAGTCTATGGACAGTGCTGAGTCTATGGGCAGTGCTGAGTCTATGGACAGTGTTGAGTCTATGGACAGTGCTGAGTCTATGGACAGTGCTGAGTCTATGGGCAGTGCTGAGTCTATGGACAGTGTTGAGTCTATGGACAGTGTTGAGTCTATGGGCAGTGCTGAGTCTATGGACAGTGCTGAGTCTATGGACAGTGCTGAGTCTATGGACAGTGCTGAGTCTATGGACAGTGTTGAGTCTATGGACAGTGCTGAGTCTATGGACAGTGCTGAGTCTATGGGCAGTGCTGAGTCTATGGACAGTGTTGAGTCTATGGACAGTGTTGAGTCTATGGACAGTGTTGAGTCTATGGGCAGTGCTGAGTCTATGGGCAGTGCTGAGTCTATGGACAGTGTTGAGTCGATGGACAGTGCTGAGTCTATGGGCAGTGCTGAGTCTATGGGCAGTGTTGGGGCAGTGCTGAGTCGATGGACAGTGTTGAGTCTATGGACAGTGCTGAGTCTATGGGCAGTGCTGAGTCTATGGACAGTGTTGGGGCAGTGCTGAGTCGATGGACAGTGTTGAGTCGATGGACAGTGTTGAGTCTATGGACAGTGCTGAGTCTATGGACAGTGTTGAGTCTATGGACAGTGTTGAGTCGATGGACAGTGCTGGGTCTATGGACAGTGTTGAGTCTATGGACAGTGTTAAGTCTATGGACAGTGTTGAGTCTATGGACAGTGTTGAGTCGATGGACAGTGCTGGGTCTATGGACAGTGTTGAGTCTATGGACAGTGTTAAGTCGATGGGACAGTGTTGAGGCAGTGTTGAGTCTATGGGCAGTGCCGAGTCTATGGGGCAGTGTTGAGTCTATGGGGCACTGTTGATGCAGTGTTGAGTATATGGGGCAGTGTTGAGTCTATGGGGCACTGTTGATGCAGTGTTGAGTATATGGGGCAGTGTTGAGTCTATGGGGCACTGTTGAGGTAGTGTTGAGTCTATGGGGCAGTGTTGAGTCTATGGGGCACTGTTGATGCAGTGTTGAGTATATGGGGCAGTGTTGAGTCTATGGGGCACTGTTGATGCAGTGTTGAGTCTATGGGGCAGTGTTGAGTCTATGGGGCACTGTTGATGCAGTGTTGAGTCTATGGGGCTGTGCTGAGTCTATGGGGCTGTGTTGAGTCTATGGGCAGTGTTGAGTCTATGGGCAGTGCTGAGTCTATGGGCAGTGTTGAGTCTATGGGGCTGTGCTGAGTCTATGGGCCTGTGTTGAGTCTATGGGCAGTGTTGAGTCTATGGGCAGTGTTGAGTCTATGGGTAGTGTTGAGTCTATGGGCAGTGCCGAGTCTATGGGGCAGTGCTGAGTCTATGGGGCACTGTTGAGGTAGTGTTTAGTCTATGGGGCAGTGCTGAGCCTATGGGCAGTGTTGAGGCAGTGTTTAGTCTATGGGCAGTGTTAAGTCTATGGGCAGTGCTGAGCCTATGGGCAGTGCTGAGTCTATGGGCAGTGCTGAGTCTATGGGCAGTGCTGAGTCTATGGGCAGTGTTGATGCAGTGTTGAGTCTATGGGGCACTGTTGATGCAGTGTTGAGTATATGGGGCACTGTTGATGCAGTGTTGAGTCTATGGGGCACTGTTGATGCAGTGTTGAGTCTATGGGGCACTGTTGATGCAGTGTTGAGTCTATGGGGCACTGTTGATGCAGTGTTGAGTCTATGGGGCACTGTTGATGCAGTGTTGAGTCTATGGGGCACTGTTGAGGTAGTGTTGAGTCTATGGGGCAGTGTTGAGTCTATGGGGCAGTGTTGAGTCTATGGGGCACTGTTGATGCAGTGTTGAGTCTATGGGGCTGTGCTGAGTCTATGGGGCTGTGTTGAGTCTATGGGCAGTGTTGAGTCTATGGGCAGTGCTGAGTCTATGGGCAGTGTTGAGTCTATGGGGCTGTGCTGAGTCTATGGGGCTGTGTTGAGTCTATGGGCAGTGTTGAGTCTATGGGCAGTGTTGAGTCTATGGGCAGTGTTGAGTCTATGGGCAGTGTTGAGGCAGTGTTGAGTCTATGGGCAGTGCTGAGTCTATGGGGCACTGTTGAGGTAGTGTTTAGTCTATGGGGCAGTGTTGAGTCTATGGGCAGTGTTGAGTCTATGGGCAGTGTTGAGTCTATGGGCAGTGTTGAGGCAGTGTTGAGTCTATGGGCAGTGTTGAGTCTATGGGCAGTGTTGAGTCTATGGGCAGTGTTGAGTCTATGGGCAGTGTTGAGTCTATGGGCAGTGTTGAGGTAGTGTTTAGTCTATGGGGCAGTGTTGAGTCTATGGGCAGTGTTGAGTCTATGGGCAGTGTTGAGTCTATGGGCAGTGTTGAGTCTATGGGGCTGTGCTGAGTCTATGGGGCTGTGTTGAGTCTATGGGCAGTGTTGAGTCTATGGGCAGTGTTGAGTCTATGGGCAGTGTTGAGTCTATGGGGCTGTGCTGAGTCTATGGGGCTGTGTTGAGTCTATGGGGCTGTGCTGAGTCTATGGGGCTGTGTTGAGTCTATGGGCAGTGTTGAGTCTATGGGGCAGTGCTGAGTCTATGGGGCACTGTTGAGGTAGTGTTTAGTCTATGGGGCAGTGTTGAGTCTATGGGCAGTGTTGAGTCTATGGGCAGTGCTGAGTCTATGGGCAGTGTTGAGTCTATGGGGCACTGTTGAGTCTATGGGTAATGTTGAGTCTATGGGGCAGTGTTGAGTCTATGGGTAATGTTGAGTCTATGGGCAGTGTTGAGTCTATGGGGCACTGTTGAGTCTATGGGTAATGTTGAGTCTATGGGGCAGTGTTGAGTCTATGGGGCTGTGCTGAGTCTATGGGGCAGTGTTGAGTCTATGGGGCAGTGTTGAGTCTATGGGGCAGTGTTGAGTCTATGGGGCAGTTTTGAGTCTATGGGGCAGTGTTGAGTCTATGGGGCAGTGTTGAGTCTATGGGGCAGTGTTGAGTCTATGGGGCAGTGTTGAGTCTATGGGGCAGTGTTGAGTCTATGGGGCAGTGTTGAGTCTATGGGGCAGTGTTGAGTCTATGGGCAGTGTTGAGTCTAAGGGCAGTGTTAAGTCTATAGTCTGCGCTGAGTCTATGGGCAGTGCTGAGTCTATGGGCAGTGCTGAGTCTATGGGCAGTGTTGAGTCTATGGGCAGTGTTGAGTCTATGGGCAGTGCTGAGGCAGTGTTGAGTCTATGGGCAGTGTTGAGTCTATGGGCAGTGTTGCGTCTATGGGTA